AGCTGGACGAAGGGCAAAGCCAGAGCTCTCTGGGACCCTCACTGGCACCGGCACTGCGCCTTCAGCCTGGTAGCCCCTGTTCTTGAGCCACTCTAGGACAGACACAGCCACCTGCAACTCTGCCTCTGTTCCAGCACCAGAGCTGCGGGCATCTATGTTCTGCCCCAAGCAACGCAGGGCTGTGACTGCCATGTCCTCACTCACCCTTGCCTTCACCCCCCAAGCCCTGAAGAGACATCTGTAGGGCAGGAAGTCAGGGGGCACCCGGGATACTAATGATGCCAGGTCCAGTTCCTCAGGGTACTCCAGCACAGCATCACGTGGCAGGACGAACCCAACACCAGTCCACACCACAGCAGCCTCTGGGGCAGTCCCAAAGGTCCCCAGATCTTCTTGCATGTGCTGGTAGACAGCCTGGAGTGCAGGAACAACCTTATCTGTATCCCTGCACGCTGCCAGGCATATCAGCTGCTCCCAAACCTTCTCTGGTGGTGGGGACTGATGCAGTCCCAATTTCTCCGCTGCCTCTGATGTGAAGACACCAGTTAGAGGCATTGCAAGCCCCACCAGTCTCATGTACTGGGTGGACCGTAGCTGTTCTGGAGGCAGGAAGGGCTTCTCAGGCTTTCCCGTGCACTCCGAGCGGGGTACCCATGGCAGAGCACAGAACTGCCTGAGCTCCATTGGGGTGAAGCCAGCCAGTGCCCTGGGGTGATTGCAGACTTTGATCAGCGCCTTAGCCCTGTCCAGAGCCAGCCCATCACCCTCACTCACAGTTTTTGCAGCCTCTAGGATATCTGAAGCCACCAGACACCCCTCGCCATGCCGCAAGCCTAGGACCCTCAAGGCACGGAGGATGGGTGGGCTGCAGAAGGCAGCAGGGGGGAAATGTTCAGGACGCAGCAGCACCTGCAAGATACTCTCACAAGGGTCGTAAAGGTCCCGTGGCTGCATAGGGCCTCTGGGGGTGTCCAAGAAGGCCAGGTTGCTGCAGGCCTGCAGGAGCATGGGGCTCTGTGCAAAAAGGGTGTCTCCATGCCGCAGCACCCAGAGCAGCAGTGCCTGGGTCTCAGCTGCCCGCCCTGCGTAGGTGCCCTGAGCCACAGCTCGGATGCCCTCCAGTGCCACACAGGCAGCGCTGACAAAGGACTTCTGGAGCTGTCCCAGGAGCCGCCGGTCAGCTTCGTCCTGGCACCGCAACACAGCCTTTGGCAGGACCACGTCTCCGGGCAGCTCTAGCTCTGACTGTAGCACTGGGGTGTCATTGGCAGGTACTAGCCCCATGGGCTGTGGGGTGGCCAGGCAGGGCAGTGGGATGAAGAGAGGCAGAGTGGCCAACAAGTCTCTCTCTGGTTTTGCCAGGGATGGGACATCTGCCAGGTAGAGTCGGAGAGTGTCCACAGCGACAGTGGTCAGTGAAGCCAGGCGGGAGGCCACATCTGCAGCCCCCCGGCTACCCAGGGCTCGCAGCACATTGAGGGGGGTTGGAGGTAGGATGTAGCGGGACAGAGTGCGGTGCCATATGCCTGGAGGCACCACAGAGCAACCCAGGGCTTCCAGGATGGGGGCCACAGTGGATGGCAGACACTGATCCTCCCACGACTGGAAGATAAGACCAGACTGGGGTATGAGCTGGGCCAGACGGATGGTGGGAGCACCCAGTGGGGACAGGGGGACCAGGGGAAGCCCTTCCACAGGGCCCAGGTCTTCCATGTGGTTGGCTAGGAAGAGCCACAGGGCTGGAAGCCATGAAGCGGGGGGCTGGGGGGGACCTTGGGCCGGGCACCAGGACACGAGGCTTGAGGACTGCAATGTCCAGGTTTCGGGCAGAGCCGAGCGCAGGGTCCGGGCAGTCATGGCAGGGTCCAGCAGAACCAGGTTAGGGAAGAGACCTGTGGTGGGGGGAGAGAGTAGAGGCTGGATTAAGGGACCTGGAATTAGGGAGACATGAGACCTGCAGGAAAGGATTTGAGATGTGGAGAGGGTGGGGGAACCTCATAGAGGGACTGAAGAGACTCAAGCTCTGGTGGGACATGGGGTACCTTGGATAGCAGAAACAGGGGGACCCCAGATTGGTAGGGACAGAGGAGATCTAAGAGGGCAAGAGGGTCAATGGGTGCCCAGAACTGGGGAGCAAGGCGGTCCTCAGATGGGAAAACACAGGGACACTTTGAATCTGACATGGGACAGAGATGAAAGGAGAATGTGTGAGAGGCATCAAGAAGACCCTCACCGATGGAGACAGAGGGAGACCTGGGATGGGATAGAGTGGCCCAGGATCTGGGGATGGACAGGGGGACCTGGCATCTGAGAACACATCCCAGACTGTGGGGAGAGTGGGACTCCAGCTCTGCAGTGCTGTAGGGTGAGCGAGGAGGATCCCAGACGTATTGGGGGATTCAAGGGGCTATTGGGTGATGGGTGATTTGGGGCCCAGGCAGGGATCAGGAGACCCTAGGCAAACACAGGAATTCTTGCTCTCTCACCTGCCTTGGCAATGCTCCGCAGGAGGTTGTCCAGGGCCGGCTCCAGGTTGGAGGGCAGGAAGGACCCAGACAGGCCAGGCAGGAGCATCCTGTGGGAGCAAATGAAAGATGTCGATGGGGTACAAAGGTAAGAGGAGACAGGGAACTTCCCAGACAGCCAGGTTCAGCTTCCACTCAATGAGACTGGGGGGAAAAAAGAAGGGGCAATGAGGTGCCCAGTTGTCTAGGCGCAACCCTCCTCCATCTCTTCTGTCAGGCTATGTCCCAACCCCTTCAAGCACCTGGGTTCCCTGCCTGTTTCAAAAGGGCTGGGAGCAGGACAAGCATCTGGATGCCTGGATCCCCTGATAGCTCACCTGGGGCAGTCCGATGTGTCCACGTAGACAGTGGCCGCTGCACTGCCAAAAGCCACGAAGGCACCATCAGCACGAGGCAGGAGCGGGAGACCCTGAAGCTTGGCGTAGTTTCTGTCTCCAGTCACATAGCGCAGCAGGCACAGGCGGTCTGAGGCCAGGAGCTCCATATCCCCACGACTCCTCAGCACCTCTCGCACATGGTCTGCTGAGGCCTCCTGCGGGCCCTTGGTCAGTCCCAGTGTCAGCACCCTCTGGACACGGTCTGGGACGATGGCCACTGGCTCCCCAGCTGCTACTAGGAAGGCCTGGACAACCCGCTGTGTGTCCATGTCCTCTGTCTCCTCAGTCAGCAGAACAGCCTCTGTGGCCTTCAGCCGCCCTGTGGCCTCCTCAGCGGCTGGCACCAAGGCACAGGCAGGTGCCAGCTCCCGGCAGACGTTGACCAGCACTCCATGGATACGGCCATGGCCTGGAGTGCCCTTGGGATCTGGCCAGATGCTATAGGGGTCAGCACCAGGCAGGGCCGCAGCCACAGCCGCCATGTGGCCATAGACCTGCGGCAGGAGGTCGAGAAGCAGCAGAGCATTCCAGGTGGCATCTTCCTCACTTTCCCCGTCCTCAGAAGGCCAGCGGAGATGGCGGCGATCATCGGAGAGGGCAAAGGGGGCACTGACATGGGCAGGTAGCCCTGCGGCCATCTCCTCTGTGGCTGGCAGTGGCAGGAAGCAGCAGAGCCGCCCTTGGCAGGGGCCGCGGAGGGGATGTGCCAGGCTCAGCTCGGGGCTGCACCCCATCCTCAGGCTCAGCCCTGTGGCTTCTGCTGGTCCTAGGACAGGGAGAGGCTGTGAGGATGCTGCCAGGGCACCGATGAGGGTATGGGCCCCATCAGGGGACACATGGTGCAGGGCTACATGTCGGACATGGCGAAGGAAGAGAAGGGCAAGGGGTGCTTCAGCAAGGAAGGTCTGGAGCAGTCTGTGGAGGGAGCCGGGGTTGCAGACACCCACAGCAATGCCCGAGGGTTGCCGTCGGAGAGGGAAGCGGAAGAGAGTGCCCTGGGCAGAGTCCCGGCACTGCCCCACAGCCTCCAGCCCAGCCCAGAAGGGTTCAAAGAGGCCAGGCAGGTCCTGGGCTGCAGAGATGTCCCAGCGGGCGCCAGCACCTGGCAGCACTTGGCATTCAGGGTCCAGCACCCCCAGGGATGGGGGGCTCAGCACTCCCGGCAGGTCTGGGGACATGGGCATTATCAGGTCACGGGGCCAGCACGGTCCCCACAGTCCCTTTAGCACCTCCTAGCCCACCAATGCCCTCAACGCCCACCCCAGAACCAACAATTCAACCCCACCATGCCTCCCATGACACCTGTGTTAACCCCTGTGCCCTAGTTCTTCCTTTGCTCAGTCCTCCAGGCTGCCCAGCCCTCCCAGCCCCTCATGAACCCTGCCCGGTTCACCCATTTAAAACATTTTACCCACCCAGAGTTACCCGATGATTCCGAAGAGATCACCAGCTCCCTGTGCCCCTGGGGCAACCTCATATCCCTCCTGCCTTCAGTGCAACCTCAGGCCCCCAGCTCAGACCCCCAGCACTACTCACCAGTAAGGTGGTAGACGGAGGTGAAGCCCAGACCGAAGCGTCCCACTTTGCTGGGGTCCCCTCGCTTATGGGACACCCCTGGGCGCATGAGTCCAGTCCAGTCCCGGGAGGACAACAGAGCATTGTTGTAGGCGAGGAGAGCCGGGCCTAGGGAGCCAGGGTATCAGGATTAGGGGGAGACTGGGGATATGTAGGAGGGCTGGGGAGGGAGGGTTTAGACCCACACTCAGTGTCTTGTAGGTTCCAATTCCTCCCCATCCCCTAGTTCCACTCAGCCCATCTCAGGGCCCCCAGGATCACCAAGTCCTCCCAGTGCCTCCAGTACACCCAGACTTTTATTCCTTCCAGGTCTCACAATTTCCTCTGATACCTCTTGATTTCACTCCAGTATTCCCCAATCCCACTCAGTACCCCCCAGTACCTCTCAGTGCACCCCTATCCTCCCCAGTCCCTCCCAAAGCCTCCCATTCCCTTTGATCCCTGAAATTCTCCCCCATTACCACTCAGTTCCCCCCAGTCTCCCAGTCCCAATGTTCTACAGTGCCCCTCACCCTGGGTCCCCTCCAAGCCCCCTCCAGCGACGACATCGAACTCCCGCTCGTCGGACACAAACACGACCTCAGTAGCGCCTGCATCATCTGCATTCTGCACCAGCTCCTGGAATCGGGGATCAGCACCTTGACATCCTCCGTAATCCCCAGAGAAAGCACCAACCCTGCCCAGACCCCTGAGACCTCTGTTTGCCCCAGGTGGGCAGCAGGGTCTAGGAATTAGTGCTGGGCAAGAGCCACCCACCCGCCTTAGGCTCCTGGGTTCCCGGCCCATCAGGGAGTTTGGCAGCTGAGTGGGAATGCTGAGGTGCCTGGGGTCCAGGGACTCACCTTGAGGATCTGCCCGCCATCAGGGTACTTCTCCAGGATGCTGTGTAAGTAGTCAAGGAAGATGGGTGCTTGCTGGCAGAAGGCTTCTCTGCAAAGCAAGGAGATGGGGGATCAGTGGGGAGCAGTCCACATGGGTCCCTAGGACCCTCAAGAGCCTCTTGGGATCCCTCTGTCCTTGTGGGACATGCCTCCACGCCCCGCCCCCCACCCTCGAATGCCCCCCAGTCCCACCATGTCCTAATGGGACCCCCTAGAAGCTCCAGTCCTGTTTCCCACACAGAAACTAACGACCTCCTTGGCCCCTCACACAATTCCCATGGACTCCAACAACCCGGGCTTCTCCCCAGTGACCCCCGAGCCCTCAGTAATCCGCATATCCCCTCACAAAACACAGTTCCGTGGCAATACTCCCCCAGCCGCACTCACGCTTTCGGCTGTCTGAGGGCCATGACAAAAGCTCCGCAGGGTGCAGGGTAGTGCTCCCGGATGCCCAGGTCCCCTTAGCTGCTTTCAGTCTGTGCCGGGAGGCCCAGGACTCTGTCCTGTTAGCTCCTCCTGCTCCGTGTCTGTGGCTGCAGCGCCTGGGAGATCTATTTGCAGGGATCCTCCCCCTTCGGCAGTTTCGTTTCCTCCAGGCAGCGGCTGTGCTGCGTCAGTTTCCTAAACCCAAAACTGCAGTGCTGGGACTGAGGAGGGCCCTGGGGCCACCACGGGAGCCGCAGCCATGGGAATGATGGGGGTGAAGAGGGTTACAGCCACAGTGGGGAGCTGGGGATGCACTCCTCAACGGGGACTATGGGGAATGTATAACAGCAGTACGGAGCAGGGCTATATGGAGGATACAGCTGAGGGATATGATTGCTCGAGGGATGCAGGGGACATGAGCTAACAGCAATAGGGCAGAGTGGACATGAGGGTGTTCCTGTGGGATTGGAGAGACATTGAGGCTATGGCTATGGAGTGGAGCTATGTGGGACATGGCTATGGGGTGGGATTGCAGTGGGCAGGGACACATGGCTGTGGGGTTTGGGAGTGTGGAAACATGGCTGTGGGGTGGAATTACTATGGGACAGTGGGACACTGTGATGTGGGTATGGCAGGGGAGTACAGAAGATATGGCAGAGGACTGAAATGAACATGGGGATGTAGAAGTGGGGTAGGAAGGATATGGGAACATGGATATGGGGTGATGGGAATGTGTGGGTCATAGTTGTGAGGGGAGGAGACTTTGGGATATGACTGTGAGGTGGAATTGCTGTGTGGTGGGGGTGACACGGGGATATCACTGCGGGTTGAAGGGATGTGGGAGACATGGCCATGGTATGGGATTGGTGTGGGGGTGGAAGCCTCGGCAGGTCTCCAGTCTCATCTCCCTGCTTGACTGCTCAGCTGGTAGCCATAGGTGACAGGAGGCCCAGTGCACTCCCCTGGCTCCTCCAAAAGGGAGAGATGTCCCAACTGGGGGGACCTGACGGGTCCTCTAGGGCACATCCCTAGTGGCATGGGGCTGGAGGCTCCAAGAACAGTCCCCCAGGCACAGGGACTGGTTGGGGACAGAGTGGAGAGGACACAGGCACATGGTGGGCACTTAAAAAAGCAAACCCAGGGTCATGGGCACTGAGGGACAAAGAAAATTTGCTCTCCTTGCCCTGCAGAGTCTCTATGCCTGGAAAACAGCTATAGAGAGAGTCCAGCGGGGCACAGGATCAGGGAGGACAGATATGTAGACTTAGCCAAGCAAAGAACTGAACCTCCAAAACCCATAACTGGAGCCAGCTGAGCGCATGACCACAATCATCAGAGGGCCATGTCCAGGGCCATTAGAAAGCCACCTCTGGGACCATATGAGAACAAGTAAGAGAACCCTGCCGCCAGCCTCAGCCCTACCAGGCCATCTGAGGGGAGCATCACCCCATGGGACAGCCATAGCTGGGAGTCAAGGAAAGCAGCTCTCCAGGGCAGTTTTCCGACTGAGGATAGTTAATGCCTTGGAGCATGGGATATGTTGTGGGATGCAGAGAAGAACATTTGGAGATAACACTAAACTTATTAGGTAAGGTTTAGGAGAGGAACCAAAGGTGGGGAAAGAGAGGGATCCAGGTGATTTGGGGAGAAAGAAGCATGGAGAGAAATAAAAAGAAAAAAAGAAAAGGAAATGAGATGTAAGCAGCACTAGTCAGTGTGCTTGCCCACCCACATCCTATGCCTGACTAGGGAGCTTTGTTAATCAGTCCAGTCTTCTCAAACCCCTTTCTAACTTTTTTTTTTTTCCCCCCTCTGGATGAGGGACTCCTGTGTGCACATGTGTGAGGAGATCAGAGCGCCAGCAGAGGGAAGGGGAGCGCGGGTCTGGGTGCAGGTCTCGGCGTGCAAGACAGAGAGGCTGTGCAAGGAGCACGCCATCACTCGCAGTATCAAGCAGAACTAGTGGCCTAGTAGGTGAAGTGGCCTGGGAGCCGTGTGTGCATGTGTGTGTCTGAGGGTACAAGCGTATGTGTATATATATGTTACCCACTAATGGACCTTCATCTTGACCAGCCATTGGTGGTGGTGCTGGTGGTGATGCTGTTAATTTCACGAGTGCTCGGTGTTTCTCACTGTGACCTTCTGTGTGGCTAGACATGTACCTCAGTTTGTGTGTTTGCTTGCTAGCAACACATGCCCAGCTGCTCTGCTGTCCTGAGGACATGGAGCTGGGACAGCCTTGTCTCTACCGGAGCACAAGATTAAGCAATGGAGATGGAGGGCTGAGCCAGCTCTCTGGACCTGGACACAGAGGTAGGTCTCCAAGTTAGGGGACATGAGAAAAGGTTCTGCAGAAATCGGGAGTCCTATATGCCCATTACTGGACCTCATTGCAACGCTACCACCTCTATCATGGACCTAGCCAGATTGTACCTAGCAAGGCAAGAAAGGCGGTTTGTCCTCCACTGGATGCTGATGACACCAGAGCAGGATATTAGGCCCAGTTTGGGGCCTCCCAGTACAAAGGGGTTAGCAGAGGCCACCGAGATATGTGTGCCTGGAGACAGAATATTAAATAGAATGCCAAGAGTTGGTGCAGCTTGGAGGGGGCAAAGGATGGTTAGCAGGGAGAAAGGGCCAGAAGAGGTGCCCTGAAAAGGCAAGGCCATTCAGCACCCTGCTGCAAAATCTCTTCTACCCCATAATGTCTCCAAGGGAGAACAAAAGTGTTGAAAACAAACGGAAGAAAGACAAAGTGCGGAGAAGGTCTGTGAACAACTACATACCCAGGACTGCTGAGGGCCTCAGGGGAGTCCAACAACTGTTTCTCCCATCTGTCCTAGAACACAGCCACAGCACGTGCCTGGTGCTTGGGCACAAGGCTCTTGCTCATGCTGGGGCCGGTCGTGATCGAGGCTGGGCATAGCTGGGGGGGTACAGGCAAGTGGAGATGTCACAGCCTACAGTAACATGGACCCATGGGAGCAAGACCCCCTAATGCCTCTTGGAGGACAAGCAATGGAACTGTGCCATGAATCTAAACAGCTGCATGGTACACTGTGACAAGGTTCAAAATACATTGGGAGGTCCGATCATTCATATCAGAGCTTCATTTCAATCATTAACCATGTTCTGTTGAGAGGTGTTATGCACGTATCTATCTCCTGTGCACCTATGTATTGCAGTGATAGTATATGTGTTTGACAGTGTATGCATACATCCGTTCAACACGTACTTGCACTGTTAGTTAGCGAAGAGTCTCATGTGCATATTGCTGCTATGCTCTTAACAGCAGTCACTTACGCTAACATACGGGTATCTGCATAGCCATGGCTTGCACAGGCTCTACTCAAAGTCACTATACCCTCATAACCTTCTGCAGTGGTCCACTACACCCTGATGGTGAGGACCCAGCAAGGTGGGCTTTGGGCCCCCTTTGTCAGGTGGATTTAAATCCACCTAACAGAGGACTCCAGTGTCAGCACTCTACTCTCCATGTCCCATTGCTCTGTCCCATAACACAAAAGATGGGCCCTGTGAGTGGAGACAAAGTGGGGTTGGGCAGCACTTCTGCACACATCTCAACACACTCAAAGGATGATAGCTCCTGTCCTGCCCCAGCCCAGGGCCAAGCTGCCCTACCCAGCTGCAGTCCCCCATCCCCTCTCTTCCCTCCTCACCTCACTCCTATGTCACCCAAAGGGACATATAGGCCTTCCACGGCTTAATCAACCTTTTGTTATTGCCAAAGGGAGCTCTGCCAATACCATTAGCCAATCCAAGAGGGAAGAACAACTGGGGAGGCCGAAGGTGAGGTTCAGTGTGTGGAGGCAGGGGCAGTTATTTGGGGTAAGGACCATACCATTGCCCCAGTACAGGCCAAGGAATGGGCCAGACTCTGTAAAACATAGAGTAGCTTCAGACCTACCCGTGAGGGAGATGTTGCCCTATCTTAGGGCTTTGACTGATCCATTTCTCTGCAACTAGTTCCAGTCCCTGCGCGAATGAAAAAAAATAATGGATGACCCAGCTTTTGGGAGATCTTTTAAGTGAGAAGACAGCAGACTAGTGTCAGGTGGCAGACAACAAACAAGGGTCATTGGGGTTTGGGGTTACCAGAAGATGAGGCCAAGGAGGAAATAGTCCCTGAAGGGGCAAAAAGAACAGGAAAGCCAAGTTAGTTCCCTGATGTTCCATTTCATGAGGCCACCAAACCTCCCCCACAACCATGAGGAAGGAGCAGCACGGACACTTCCCCAAGGCTGGACTCAGTGTCATCTCCCACCCCCTTGCACCACTACATTTCGCAAGGGCCAAGAGGAAGCCATTTCGCCAGCAAATGACCCATTGAAAGAGAAACCAAAAGTCCCTAACACTTCTACTTCTCAGCTCCATAGGAGCCTAAGACCAGGTCATTGCAGATGCACAGTCCTGAGAGGGTGATGGGATTACTCTGGGACGAGCTCAACCACCCAAGCCCTACACTGAGCCTGCAGAAACATGAGCTGTGGCACAGGAAGTAGCTTGTGACAATCAGGACCTGCCAGGACACAGCAAGAAGAGACGCAGCTACAAGAGAACAGACTCAGCATTTCCCCATCAACCCTCCTTCCTGAGGAAGTCCTGCTTGAGCCAGAGTCACAAGGAGATAAGAGGGACTACGATGGTGCCCATGACCCACGTCCTAAGCTTTGGTGAGTGCCAGAGGCTGTATGGGCTCTCAGAGGGGACACGAGGTGCCTTGGGCCCCCAACAGAGATGTTACAGGGCAGGTAATTTCTCTTGCAGCTGCTTGGCTAGTGGTGCAGAGCATGACAGCCACAAGTGAGTATCATGAGGAGGGAGATGGGGAGCTGGGACACACCTCAAAGCATCTGTCTACCTGCTGGGGCCAGCCCCACTGCACCAAACGCATCCTCATGTGGAGATGGGGCCTAGAAGCAGCTCCCTGCTCGCTCCAGAGCACTCCATGTCTGTCTGGCATCATCTCTCTCACTGCAGGTGACTCCAACGTAATCATCTACTTGCAGCCCCCTGGGGTGACCCCTCTGGGAGGCTCTGCCATCATCCACTGTGAGTACCAGCACTATGGTGGGACCTTTGTGCTCTACAGGAGTGGGAAAAAAATACTCACTCTGAAGCCTCATGGTGGAAGGGCCGAGTTCCTCATCTCCAATGTCACCCGAAGTTTCGCAGGTCCCTACACCTGCCATTACGTGCATGGAGATAATGGGACTATACTGGCGCGCAGTAACACCTTGGAGGTCCTGGTGGAAGGTAAGAGATGTGTTGCGGCCACTCCAACACCCCCCGAGATGGGGGAAGCACTGGGCATTTTGGCTTCCCTATCTGCATGACAGGAAGGGTTTTTCCCTTCGTCCCTACCTTGGAGAGGTGGTGACCATCTCTGCCTTGGCCTTAGTGAGACGGTGGCATCACAGATACCCCACAAGGCTCCCAGCGCCGTATCTGTTTAGTCTGGAGAAGAGAAGAGTGAGAGGAGACTTATCAACATGTTCAAGTACCTGAGGGGTGACTGTAGGGAGGATGGGGTCAGGCTCTTCTCCATGGTGGCCGGTGACAGGACAAGGGGTAACGGGTGTAAATTGAAACATAGGAAGTTTAATCTCCATATGAGGAAGAACTTCTTTACTGTGAGGGTGCCAAAGTCCTGGCACAGGCTGCCCAGAGAGGCTGTGGAGGCTCCTTCTCTGGAGATCTTCCAACCTGCCTGGATGCCACCCTGTGCCCCGTGCTCTGGGTGTCCCTGCTGGAGCAGCGGGCTGGACTGGATGATCTCTAGAGGTCCCTTCCAATCTCAACCATTCTGTGATTCTGTGATCTCTCCCCACAGAGCTCCAGGGCCCCAGACCTGTCCTTTCCATCCTGCCCGAGCATGAGGTGACTGCAGGGTCTGCCGTGCTCCTCCGTTGCACCTTCTGGAACGACAGTGCTACCTGTTTCCTGTACCTGGAAGGCCGGGCTGGGACACGTTATGAATTCCCCTCTACGGAGGCTACTTTGCAGCTCTCCCAGGTGGAGCCGGGCAATGGGGGCCGCTACACCTGCCAGTGCTTCATCAAACAGACCCCACCAATATGGTTCATCCCCAGTGAATTCTTGGAACTGGTCGTGAGAGGTGAGACACTGCCCCATCTCATCCTACCCTCTTTTTCTTCATTAGCCTTTGCCACATCGTGGGGGGAGTTAGAAAAGAGGAGGTGAGGGAAAGAAAGCAGCTGGTAAAAGGTCCCAGGCAGAGGTTAGCAACTTCCTCCAGATGTGTTTGAGGCTTGCCAGCCCCTCACAGACCCTACAGACATGGTGCTCCCGAGACATGAGCGGCGATGGAGACAGGGAAAGGGCATGGGGTCAGGCACAAAGGGCAATGGCATTTGCCGCACATGATGGGACACCATGGGGGCATTTATGCCTGAACTCACCAGCACTGTCTGGCTGGTGGTGGCAGGTGAAGGCAGGTTCCATGTTCCTGGCGTCCTTGTGGCCTCAACACCAGGACACATCAGGGTTGGGAAGTAGGGGGAGCCACAACGGGACAGGGATTGGGGAAGGGGAGACAAGAGGCAGTTGGGAGATCTTGGCAGTCCCCTTTGCTCCCTATGAACTTTCCTCTAACAACATTTAGCCCAGGGGACCCCAATGGTATCCCATTGCTCCCATGAGTCTGTTTGTCTGGGACCCTATGTGTCCCTGGTTTGTCCCCTGAGGCCCCCTGCCTGCAGCCTCCTTGGGCTCTCTTTGTGCTGGGAGCTCTCCAGGGTCTCCCCTTCTTTGCTGATTGCCGCTTCCTACACTCAGCAGATTACACCCGGGGCAACACCGTGCGCCTGGCCGTGGGGGCCGCGATCCTCGTGCTGCTGGGGCTGATTGTGGCCGAGGCCCTGCACAGCCACCGATCCACGGCCAGTCACCTGGGCCCCCTCTAGAACAGAGCAGAACTCATCCCCAAACCACCAGGAGAGGAGACGGTGCTGCCAGGACCCTGCGCGCTGGCGGCAGACTGCAGGCTCTGGGCATGAGGAACTCCATGAAACCATTGGAGCTGCGACTGGTGAAGCAGCGGCTGCTCTCCTCTCCCACTCCCTTGCAGTAAAATAAAGCAGCCTTCCCCACTCGTTGCTTCCAGCAGCTGCCTTTGTGGGACAGGCCACCTTGGGGGTGGATGTCGGGCGCCCTACGGCCCAAGTGCCCCCATTCCAAGCCAGTGCAGGGCAGCGTGGTGTCGCCGAAGGAGAGAGCGAGGCCCAACTCCAGGCCAGCCCCAGTTGCAGCCGCCGCCGCCGGG